GAACCCTTAAGTTAGGAACTTGTCTACTTGCTTTACTTGTTCATGAAACCTATTCTCTCAATTTAGACAACAGTCAGACTTGGAAATTTCAGTTTTGAAAATATCCTTCATTGTAAAACAAACTGTATTTCTAACTAAATAAGGCAAACCACAAGGGGGGCTTCTGAAGTATTCTTCAGGAGTTTGTTAATCAGTTGAACTCTACTGTGGCAATGAGGATGACGGCCGATGAATAGGGAGCCTGGAAATCCCTTCCATTTATTATTTCATCAGTTTCAGCTGAAAAAATAGCACACAAACAAGACCTTTTAGAAAAAAAAAATCTCCTTTCCCTTCTTCTCAACTTCTAGTCCTGTGTCATTTGAGTAACTTTGCAATTGGTACGTTCCTGAAGTTAATGTTTTGACATCCAGGGAGTGCGAGCCACTTCGGCTTGATCATGTATCACACAACCTCTCTCACACTTTCTTTTCTAATACCCTGAATGGAGGATACTGGCAATAGTCTGCTTGATTCTTGTGAAGAAAAGAAAATGACTATTCTGTGAGTAGTAAGATCTGATTTATCAGCTCACATAGCAGAGTAGTGGCAGAGAGATCCATACTGTACCCGAGACAGACATCCCCACATAGCCCGTTTGTGGAATGCCGCAATTATTTGAAACTAGCCACTTTTTTCCGTGCCAGAGGGAATACCAAACTTCAGGCTGCCAGCAGTGTATTTTTTAGATCAATTAGCAGCTTTTCAGGTACAGAGTTCAATCAGCTTCTTCTCCAGAGCGTACTTGGCAAGATAGTACTGACAGATAAAGTTAAGGTTTCTCCCTGGCAGCTCACACTAGAATGACATATACTGTCATTGATAGGGCTCACAGGAACTGGGGCTGGCATGCTGCATAACTAACCTGTCATATGCTGCGCCGTGAGCTAATGTGTCAACGGCCTGCAAACTGCGCTCTAGCGTTGGAAGCAAGTTAAAATATCAGGCAGCTACATGATACGACATTTACCACCTGTCCATTCCGACTGCAGAAGTGTCACTTCATCTTAACCACCAGTGCTTCATTTATGAAAACAAATTCAGTGGTAGGTAGGTATGTAATGTTTGCTCTGTGCTATTGGGTTTATTCTGCTTTGTAGGAAAAAGAATTTAAAAGGTAAAGTGTCATGACATCCCACTGTGTTTCAAAATAGACTGCAAAACTTCATTCAACAGATGCGCTTTTCCTAACCTTGTCCAGAATTCTCTTATGTCTACACTATTTAAGAGATGTGTGACCTTTCATGATTGAAAACCAAATGTCATAATTGTAATGGCATACTATGTGCACACAGGTTTTTAGTTCATATCTCGTATTTTCAGTATCTATCATTTGTCTGATACATAATCTATTATGTAAAATAAGTTATCTACCAGTGATAAATACACAGCAGCAAATTAGTACCCGTAGCTAGTTTGAAGTTGGTTTATAATTGTCTGTATTAATTATGACACAGGTAAGTATGAAAAATAATTTACAAAGAGATGATGTCTTTTATTAAAGTTTTCTGATTTTCAAACACAGCATACTGCACTGCTACTTATGTTAAAGCATTGTTCGTTACTAATGTAAAACATGGTTATTAATATTATATTACCTGTCTTCTGACACATCTTCAAAATCCTGCTTTTTATTTTTGGCTATTTATTTAAAAAAATCTCAGTTTCATTGTTTTCAATAAGGGAGTGTTTTAAAATCAGTTTAAGCCACCACAAACTGAATGCACAGCTGGCCTTTAAGGACTTAACCTTCATTAGGCTGTTGCTGCAAGGCAGTTGTTGGTTTGGATCGAGCTAAGACACTGCAATGCAATAGGTGTCTCTCACTGAAAAGATGTTATAGTCAAGGTTTTATTGTGTCAGTGTCGGGTTTCTAGAGAAGAATGTGTTCAAGTCAGATACAGGCTTCCAAGATTTTTCTCTTTGGAATTCTGACAGTATTGCCTATAATTACAGGAAACGTGAAGAGGAAAGTAAGAGAAAAGAAGCCAAGCTGCAGAAAAGCATGCAGAACGTGGAACAAAACCGGTTTCGAGTACAACAGAATCCTGCAAATCGAGAGAAGACTGCCAGCATCTTGCAGTTACCTGATAAACAAATTGATGCACAGAGTAAGAGACCTCCATCCCTCAGTGCTTCGCAAGTTCAGCCAGGGAGAAATAGCAGGGGTTCACCTAAAGTTTGTCACAGCAAAGGGACACCAAAGGAGAGCTGCCGGTCAGCAGAGCCTCAGAGCGAAGGTCATAAAATCAGGCAAGGTTTGTAATCTTTTTTAATTGTCCTGACTATCCCTTTTATCCATGTCTGGGCATGTTTTATATATAGGACATGTTTTATTCTTTCTATAATTTGTTGTTTCATTATTGAGATGGTTCCTTTATGACTGATAAAGGATACAGATTATTCTACTGCATGTGTTCTGTCAATGTAAGTAGTCACAAATACCAGCATCTGCAGTATCTGTAAATATATGAGAAATATGTGAGAACAGGTTGTTGGGAGTTGTTCTATTGCTTGCACTGTTTGGAGAAGATGAGGTCAAAGATATGTGGCATATCTATGGGATTCTTGAAGAATATTAATGGAGAAATTGTAACTCTTCTTTTTTTGAAGCGAGGTTAGAATTGAGTGTAAAAGAGTTCTAAGTGACATCTGTAGCATACAGAGGGAGCTGTTTGGCCAGCTTCATTCTCCACAACAGGGTTCTCCTATGATCTGACTTTGAAGTCCTCTTGTTGAGAACACTCTAGGATATTTTTTGAGAAATGAGACTGTTTTTAGAAGTTGCACTATGAAACTGTCTGCAAAGCTCTTCCTGTTACTTTTTTTACCCTGCTCCGCCTTTTTATTCTCTCTAAATACATCATCAGTTTATCATAATTCCTTAACCACTCCTGTGTTAGTTTTTGCAAGATAAACATTTCAATAACATTTCAATCAGTTCTTACTTCAAGTTCTAGGAGCTCATGGCTCAAATCTTTCTAAGCTGGTCATGTTAAAGCATCTTTGTTATCATGAGAAGCAAAAATTGGATAAGTAGTTTATTTAAGGTAAGTTGCAAGAACTCCTCAGATGTCAAATTATTGCTAATGATTAATTAGCAATTACTTATTGTGACAACTAAGTAATGACAGAGGTGTTAACAAATCTAGCAAGCTTTATCTGTGTGTGTACAAACTTTATATTAGTTAAAATATTCAGATGGCAAAGTAAAACCTGTAAGAATAACCAGAAACAGTGGTTACCAAATGAAAAAAGAATAGTTGTAATGAACATGATGAGGAATTGTTAAGTATGGAGAAAAGGGGAAGGAGAAAGATGTGGGGAGGATTAGAACGGTGAAGAGAGAAGGACAAAGAATGTCTAAAGGGGTGAACAGCCTTTACTTTTACTGACTCCTCTAGCCATTCTTTGCCAAAATCTTCCACTGGTTATGCCAATAGAAACTGCATTGCATCATTCAGGCTCCCACTGTTTCTTGGAACAAACATAATGTTTTTGCACTGAAAGAATGACCTAAGAAAGTAGGTGGTAGCTAGTCTGTGGGAAACACGGACTACAGGGTCAAACTGACTACAGAGATCAAGACTGAATTTGCCAAATTTTCTGCAGAGGGTTCTAATATTGATACTTATGTTTGAAAAACCACACGACTGTTCAGTTTTCTTCACTAACCTTCCCAGTAACCTAGGGAATTCAAACCAGCCACAAATGCTAGCAGCATGTGACTTGGACTTTTGATTGAAGCCTTCCCTGAAGGTGGAGATTTCCTGAAGTAGCTATGCCAGAATAATTTTTCCACGTTGATGGTTTAAAATCACAGGGGCTATTGCCTGGAGATTTTTTGCTTTTCAGTGTATCTTTAAAAGCAGACTGTAATTTCTGCAAAACATAGAATTTTAATTTTAAATAGAAAATTCTTCACTATTGTTTATCTTTCTTCAGCATGAGTGTTGAACATGAGAACAAAACTCTTTACTCAAGGTTCTTCTGAAAATACATGATAACGTATCTACTACTTCAACCACAAGACCAGTTTATTGTTGGAGATCATGAAGAAAACACCCTCTTGCCCAATCCAAAAAGCCTGTCTTTGAAATAAAATGCTATGCCATTTTTACGTAACCCTTCTCTTTTTGTTATTGGAAGGATGGCAGGAAAGTTGGTGCAGTAAGGGTCAAATCATGGAGTCCTTTATCAATTCTCATTAGGTGTTTTAATCAATCCTCTTGTGATCAAAACTTTAATAGACTTCATTGGATGTTTTATCGGAATTAAATATAAATTTGGATCCCATGGGCTGGCACTTAGAAAGATTTTCAGCCATTGCTGATAGATTTTTTGCATCTGCTAACAATGTGAAACAACTGTGCTTTAGCTGGTGGGTCTATTCTGATCTCCACTCAGAAAACTTCTTTCTGATACATGATGTTATCTCATTTGTCTTAATAATAGTAGTAACAGGAAGTTACCTTTTCTGCTGTGTACTTGTTATTGTTTGGTCTTCCTATCTAAGAAAGTGTATTTCCACCTCAAAAGACGATCTAGAATACTTGTATGATGGTTCTTTTCCATTCCCTAGCTATCCCATTATTCAGACTGGGAAGTTTTGCACATTCTAGTTTAACAGTTGAAACGTATTAGGGTAAATGCGTCCTGCATGCTGTACGTACAAACCAGGTGGCGGGTTTGGGTGAGGTCAGAATGACAAGGCCATTTCAAAAGGCTTTGTTCTTTTTCCTCACAGCTGTAAAAATTAACTTTTTGGGAGATCAAAATAGTGGTGTGACACATTTGAGTTGATTGTCAGCCCTCTTCTGTTTTTATTGATGGCACTTGCAGTTTTGTACATGGGTACATGAAGTGTGGGTGTTTGCCCACAGAAATCTTGCCTTCAAAAGGCATTTTTTTTAAATTGTCTATCTCCTCCTTTGTTCTGAGAGATTAAAGGAATAGATTAAAATAAATACAAATTAATTAAATTAATAATAGATTAAAATAGATCAAAATAATGGACTTTTTTCCCCTGTCCCTGAACACAGAAGGCCAGTTACCCGTATGACAATCATGCGTAAGTTAGAGTAACCTCTCAGCCCATACCGACCTGTCGCTGTCATAAATCTCTGTTGGAGACATCATTGATGATGTTTGTTCTGTATAGTCTGTTGATCTGCCACACTCTTCTTGTCCAGTTCAGGGAGTATCCTGTAAAAGTATTACAGGGATGAAGAATGTCACATGGTTTTACTGGGTTTTGGATAACCCAGAGATTTTCTGTGATTCCGTTAGATCAAAGATATCTTTTTTCTTTTTCCCCTCCTTGCCTACCCTTTTAACACCCTGTTTGTTACATTTCATCCTGTCTAGCGTATTTTCTCAATCCCCTGTTAGTTTCCTAACAAAAGAGAAGGTGGGTGGTAGATGGAGATTTTCAGTTTTGCACTCCAGTCCGACTTCTGAGTCATCCTCGCAAGAGTGTTTAGAAGCGGTTACCACACAGGATTTATTTTCCCACCCTAGGCTTGGAAAAGATATCTTGCAACAAGGGAAAAATGGGAAGGACTTCATAGTTTCATTTAGGATGTCAAGGAAAGTACCGAGAAGCCAAGCGCTCTGGGTTTCCTGGGTCAGCGGGTTACCCTGTCGCTCATCATGTACCAGAACGTAGGGCAGCTACAGCAGGAGTTCAGCAAATGAGCTTGAAACAGGGACAGTCTGTTGCAGTGTCCTTCACTGGAACAAGCAGGTGTGTTCATGGGGCTGTATTCCTGCACCTCGTGGTGAGCTTGTTTCTTTGAAGAAGAGCAGTATTTTCAGGTAGGGGAAGAAATAGTTTCTCCCTGTGACCTTTTTTTAGGTATTTAACTCAAATGTAATGTGAGAAAGAAAAATACTTGTAGATTGGTAAGCAAATGAAGAACTTTGGGACTGTACCGTTACAGGCAATCATGTCCTCTTCTGGTTCTTCCTGCTTATGCATTTTTTTCATTTAAGTAAATCCCAGTGTGCCTCAAAAGGTAACCCAGCAAAAAAAATGAGAGATATAAACTATGTTTTGCTGGATCAGAGACTGAATGTTGGTTTCCGTTTCTCTGTCTAAAGATTCATTGAGGAAGCACACCAAGAACAAGTCAAGTAACGTCTATTTCCACTGTGGCAAAGCAAAAGAGGGAACAAAAGTTGAAGCGAAACATCAGGTTGCAGCTGCTACGGAACTGGATGGAGAAAAGCACAAGAAGCACGCTGCCGAGGTGGTGGAAAACTGCGCTCGGAGGAGCAGAAGGCGTGCTGCTTCTGCTTGTAGGGCTGCAAGTGGTGGGGAAAAACTAAGAGATCCAAGTCAGTCTTCATCTGGCAACAGAGACCATTGTGAAGGAACAGCTGTGTTCTTCTGCAATGTCAGTTGTACTGGGGGACTTGCAAGACACTCAGAGAAGTGTGAAGCTTCTTCCAAAGGTAAAAGGCACCAGCAGAAACCTGGGAACAAAGAGGCAAATGATGAGCGCTGTTCACCAGCTGGCTCTAGTAGACCAGGAAGTGCCAAAACGGTATTTGTAAACACCAGAGATGACAGTGTGCCTGCTGCAGAACAAGCTAACAAAGGGGGAAATGACAAATTAGCAAAAAAGGCCTCCCCTTTACTGTCTGCTGAGGCAGAACCTACCACAGCTGTGCCAAGAAACCCAGCAGTGTGTTCTGCTCTTGATGACCGTTTGAACTCGGAAAAAACAGGTGTAATTGGATCCGGGAATGCAGATGATCAGTTATGTTCTGTTGCAAGCACAAATATTGAACAAATCCCTTTAGAGATTCGAATGCAGATAATAGAAAAAGAAAGAAAAAGGAAAGAGCTGTTTCGGAAGAAGAACTACGCTGCTGCAGTCATACAGAGGACGTGGAGAAGGTAAGACGACCGTTTCAGTAGCTAGAGAAGAGTGAGATACAAGTAGATGTAATTTAGGTTAGGCTTGTTGGGCAGTGCGCTTGATTTGGTCCTTTTGCTTACAACCTCACGGGTGCTAAATCAGGAATTTAATAATCTCTCACCAAACAAGTGGAAGTGGGTCCCAGTCGCCTAGAATTACATTAGTGGGTTCAGAAAAAGTGCAAGGTGTTAAGTGATGACTTTTGATAGTTGGGAAGTTATTAAGCTTGTATTTCAAGCACTGCTCTTCCTTTAGAGAGCGACGATCAAGATTTGCCTAAGCCTAGAGCTCACTGCTGTCGTCTTCATTAGCAAACTTGCAGAGACACAGGGTTTTTTCCAAAAAGGTTTTTGTAACCAAATCCTTCAGCACCATTTACTGACACACGTGAAACCTTATTCTGACCTGACTTTTAACTGATTAACCAAAACAGAAGAGGTTTGGAAGCTCGGATGCAGTTCATTGCCAGGACTGGAAGCTGACTTAAATAACTTGCTTGAGCAGGAACACTGCTGTACAGAAGAGGCAGACGGGAGGGTGGGGGATATCGCAGTGTTTGCTTTCCACAGCATTGTCCTGCTTTTGTGAATGTGTGAGTTTCAGCCTCAGAAATATAGTCGCTCTTGATGTACGTGCCCCTTCACATTTAATTTCTTATCAAAATTGACAGGAAGACTGTGGCAGCTGTAGGTGAAACACGTAATAAGTACACAATCCTTGTTTCCTATTTTTTATTGAAACTTTATTTGTTTTTTATGTGGATGCAGAAAACTATAAATTGCTGATTTTTACTGATGACAGATCTTTCCAGGTCTCTCACTAGTTTAACAATTTCATATATGGTCTAATACTTCTTAGTATTCAATTGAAGAAAAAATAACGAAGTTCCTTTGAGAGCTGAACTCTCACGCCCCGTGGTATAGTTCAGTAGTGATGCAGAAACCATTCCCCCAACCAAACTGTATCCAAGGGAGCAGCTGGCGGATGTCCAGGAGCATATAGAGGGAAATAACCTCCTTTATACTAGTCCCTGGGAAACCCGCACGTTGCCTGCACCAGCAGAGTCAGGTCTTCATGCCCAGCTGCCTGCCAAAGGGATGCCGAGTCACTGGTAGTCCCTTCTTCTGGGTCATGCTGGAAGCTTTGCTTCCCTCGCAGAGAAATGCAGAAGGGCTGTTTCTACCCCCTGCTGTGCCAGGAGCCGTCTTCCCAGTGAAGGGAAGTGTCTGCATCCAGCCTGCTCATCTGCAGCGCGGCAGCTGCAGCGGCAGGGACTGCTCTCTTCGGCACCACATCCAGCCCCAGGAGGCAGCCAGCCTGGGCTGCACAGCCACTCCAGCCTCACCGAGCCAGGCCGGGACTAAAAGTCAAGAGATAACAGGTCTAAATACTTACTGTACAAGCCTGCTACTTTGACAAGGAAAGATCTTTTTGCCATGTACCACATAGGTCTGAAAAGCTAAAGAAGAGCCATGAGGTCATGCTGCCTGCTTTCGGTGGTGCTTCCGGGCTTAAAAAACATCATTTCATACTTTGCAAGGTGGAGTGTTACCTGTGTTCCCTATTGTACGAAGCACCGGGGAGCTCAGAGACAAGTGTGAAGGTTTACTAGCCACCTGTTTGTGGAGATTTGGAGCCGGTATTTCTCCCACCGCTTTTTATGTTTAACTTGCGAAGCCCAAAGGAGTCTTGTCTTGCTCAGGAAGACCTGACGCTGCCCCTCACTAGGGAAGGGACACCAGACCAGACACCCCATGGTCCATGTCCATCCATTTGTTCCTAACCTGAAACGTGGCCATTTAAACATTTGTGTTGGCTCAGCAAATGCTTCTGTTTGCTCCAGCTCTTTTACTGATCGGTCTAAATATTTCCAAGCATGAGGTTGGATTTACAGTCCAGCAATTTTCCAGGTTCTCTCTTCACTGTTGTTGGAATATAAAAGTTAACACTGGCTTTTGTCAGTACGTTCCTATTCCAGTGAAAAGTTAAAATTCTGGAACATAGTATTTTTAATTAATTTTTTGAGCCTTTTCTTTTTTGGTGAAAATCCTGACTTTTTTATACATTATTGCCTATTTCTGTACTTCTTTCATCTTCATTCTCTGTTTGATATTTATGCATCCAGCTCTGGGGTCGCCAGTACAAGAAAAACATGGATCTGTTGGAGCAGGTTGAGAGGAGGGGCATCCTATGGGAACAGGCTGAGAGTTGGGCTTGTTCAGCCTGGAGAAGAGAAGGCTCCGGGGAGACCTTATTGCAGCCTTCCAGTTCCTGAAGGAGCCTACAAGGAAGCTGGGGGGGACTTTTTACAAGGGTCTGTAGTGACAGGACAAGGGGTAACGGGTTTAAACTGACAGAAGGTAGGGTTAGACTGGACATAAGGAGGAGGTTTTTTACGATGGGAGTGGTGAAGCACCGGAACAGGTTGCCCAGAGAAGCTGTGGATGCCCCATCCCTGGAAGTGTTCAAGGCCAGGCTGGATGTGGCTTTAAGCAACCTGGTCTAGTGGAAGGTGTCCCTGCCCATGGCAGGGGGGTTGGAACTAGATGGTCTTTAAGGTCCCTTCCAACCCAAACCATCCTGTGATTCTAAGTAGAAATGCATGCTTAAGTTCTGGCATTTCTCTAAATCAGGATTAAATAAATTTGTCTCACTCTGCAAATGTTATAGTGACAATTTTGTTGTTGAAAGTTTATGGAGAGCTGTTGTGTGCTACAGCACAATGGCACTGGTCTACTTAAGTATATTAAACTTGCCTTTCTCAGGAAAATGTTTCAATTCCCACAGGCCACAAACTTTACAAATGTAGTCCCCAAAAGTGTATTTTAAGGTGTGTGGCTTGCCAAAGGTTAATTGCTTATCCTGCTCGGTGAAGCTTACAGGTTCTGTGTCTGGCTCATGCACTCATGGGGTTGCCGAGGCCTGTACCATTCTCCAGGGCCCACAGCGTGAGGCAACAGAAGCTGGAAATAAGTTGGTTGCTGACACTGTTGCTCTCCTGCTCTTATTTTTTATATGTTATTGCTATATGCACGCTTTGACCAGCAACTGGTTTTATAGATGAGAGCTTCTGTTGACCATGAATCTGAGTACCATTTGACAGCTTTGTCACTCTGCACAGATATTCCACGTTTCTTTTATGTGCAGTAGTTGTGTTGACTGAGTGTCTGGTGTTGTTAAGGCACCACCTCAGATTCACAAAGCATCAGATTCAGTCCCATTCTTCATTTTTTTTTTTCTTCACTAGGATCAGAATGATCTGTTACGGGAGAGCTGAATTAACACAACATGCACACGCTCCAAAGATAACTGCCTACGTCTTCGCAGTGTCAGAGCCTCACAGTTGTTTTCTTGTTGCTAAAAACTACCAGAAGCTCTCTACAAACATGAAATCACAGCTGGGTGCAAAGGTGGAGTGCCTGTGAATGGGCCATTTCACATCTCTGCAAAGGCTGCTGGCAGTAATGACGGAATTCCGAGAGAATCGCTCAGTATTCTTTTCTGCTCAAGTATAGAACAGTCCCCTGGTTGTTTTCCCTGCAGCAGCAGTCACATAACACAGCCTCAGCTCAAGTTATGTCAGCGACTCCTTGTAACTGTGCCCCCCTTCACTTTCTCCTCCTCTCCTACCCCACTGAAAGGTTCTAAAAGTGACGTGTTATTTAACAAAACCGGATTTTTTTTTTTTTTCTTCTGTCTCTTACTAACGCTCCTGTTTGGAATTCATACGGCACTTTGCAGCCTGCTGCAGACATCGATGAGTAAGGTGCAGTCGCTCCCCACAGTTGTTACATACTTTAATGAGCTGTATAACCGTATGTGCCTGAATTCTGAGCTTCCACTGAATTGACAATAAGTTTGTCTCACCCAGCAAACTTCTCAGAGGTAATTTACTAAGCTTAGCGGAAGTTTAAAATTATTGGAGCTGTAACTGAGCATATCATCCCACTTTGGCATTCTGTTGTGCTCTTAGGTACTCATTTTCCATATATGGCTGCTGTTTTGTTTGAATTACGTAGTTCGTTGGCTTCTAACATGTATTTAAGCAATTTCTATCTGGATGTGTTGTCTTTTGGTTTAATTTAGAACTTGTGCAACAGCACAACGTCACCTCTTTCTCACTCGGTCCTCGTTCCCTGTACCGAGGCATCCAGTAGAAGCCTTTTTGAATGCCGGAGGGGATGATGATCAATGTGTTTCGGCCCGTTACCAAACTCTGATAATTAATATTTTACAAGTGTTACTCAGTTCATTTGTGACAGGTTTGGACTGGGATGATTCGGAGTTAATTGCTAGGCCAGTTAATTGACTTGGGAGTGTGACATACCAATATCCGATTGAATACTTACATCTGATTGAAGAAAACTCGCCAAGCCCAACACCTCCGTGTTGCTGGTGCCATTGACACCCAGGTGGGAAGAAGGACAGACAATCTACCACTTGGAACGGGGCTGTGACTGCACCTAAGATCAAAGTAGATCGGGTGGGGAGACCGGCAGCCTTTGAAGGGAAGGGATAAAAAGGAGGAAGAGATTGCTGAAAACAAGGTGAGGGGGAGCATCTCCAGAGAAGGGGTGGAAAGCAGCTCAGTTTTCTGAGGAGGAAATGGGCAGCTGAACCCCTAAGAGGTGACTTTGGCTCATGTCTTGTGCTGATTGACCGAGAATACGAAGTGGTAAGGCACGTGAGAAAATCTGGTGTTATTAAGCTGTGAATATAGTGAAAATGAGAAAACAGGATCGATTTTAGTGTTATACATACGTACAGGTTTGGTCTTCTCCAGATTTTCTGTGTAGTAGAAAGCAGTTGATGCTGCAGTACCATAACTTCTGACACCTGTAATGCCATATCTTTACTAACCCTGTGAAATAATGGATGCATCAGGAAACAAAGCCAGCTCCTACTTTTTCTCCTGAGCAAACATTTCTCATCCAAATGACTTAGCACATCAGTGGGAGTTCTGTTTTCCCAGTTACTCATGTAATCCACCATGTGAACTGATGCATGGAAAGCACAGAAGTTAAAACAGGTCACCTAAAACAAGCGCTCTTCTCTTTTCTGCTCTCTAGTTACCAGCTGAGACAGGAACTGGTCCAGCTTCTTCGTGCTAAGCGGCAGTGCAAAGAAGACGAAGACAAATGGAGACAAGAGGCAGCTGCCTTCTTCATTCAGGTTGCTTGGAAGAAACAGCTGAACCGTAGCCCTCTGAAACCAGCTCCTTCGTGTAAGAATCTGAAACCTGTAAACAAAACCAGCCCAGCCGTAAAACCCAGCAAGCAGTTCATCCTCAAGCAGATATATGGTAATTTTGTTTTCACTCCACCTTACTTGAAGTAGCCACACTTTTATTTTTATAGCAGAATGCCTTCTACACACTTCTTACCTAATTGTTAGGGATTTCAGCTGTTTGTAAAAATTAGTCCAAATCTCAGGTGTTTTGGGTCATTGTATTCCTGTTTCAGGTTGAAAAAAAACCCCAAACCTCTGTGATCTCAGATGGCTCCTGTAAAGCTGTTTGAGTCGCCATGTAGCATTGTTCCAGCACGGGTCTGGAGCAATCAAGTAATTCCGGTGCCAGCGCTGCTCGCCTGCATCAGTGTGGAAAGAGAACAGAGCAGTTCAGCAGAAAAAAATCTCTCGCGATGCACAGCAGCTATCTGGATCATGGATTAAGGTTTTTAAGCATCGTTTTAACCCTTTTTGGTTTTGAATTGGGTTTTTTCAAAATATTTCCACTTGAAGAATACGGTCTTGTTCCGTGTTAATAACTGTGTTGTTGGAAGACAGCGGATCTTTACTGGAAGAGCAAGATCATCTTTTACAGCGGCACTGCACTGCTTTGCGTCACACCTGCACGTGCGTGGTGCAGAGGAATGCCTCTGGAAGAAGTGGTAGAGGGAAAGCCTAGCTTTTGAACCTCGAATCACTGGTGGAGTAAGGGTGTGCTAACAATATGCACTTGACCAAGTGGTAAGTCCCTTCTGTCACAAGTCTGTAGTCTAGATAGCCAAAAATGATAAAGTAAATCAATAAATAAAGCTAACAGTTTTATTTTCCTTCTTTGTTATAGCAACTGCAGGGTGTATTTTAACTTTAGTTGAAGTTCAGTTCTGGTTGTAACAATTTTCTATCCTACAGAACATCTTGTGAGTTTCCTTGTGATAAATGAGCATCATTTTGGGGATAAAATAACGCTGTAGCCTAGCTAAATAGTTTGTAGCTCTATATGCCCACATCTCATGGGGCTGTTCATGTTTTTTTTCAAAGGACGTTCTCAGGAAGGCAAAGCGCATCAGCCAACAAGACCTCCTTCCAAGCTGAAACTCTCTGATGTGCAGCTGGTCTCAGGTAGGACACACGTTTTAAGGACACTGTAATGTTTATATACTTAGGAGCTCAGTTTCATCTTAGAAAAGGAAAACAATCATCTGCTGAAGAACTGGGATCTCATCTCAAAACACGTGACTACCTCCACACTCCTGTGATGGCACACTCTTTCTTTCACTGCTTTGAGCACTGCGCTTCTCTCCTGTCGAATCGTTCATATGAAACCCTGTTTTCCCTGGTTGTCACTGGGAGAGACCTCGACACAATGGACTGGTGCAGTGATGAGCCGGGTACCATCCGCCTGGTTAAAACCGCTTACGGATGCTCCTGCTTGGCTCAGCAGCGCAAATATTTACCAGCCCTTCAGAAGTAAAGGAAGCGCGTTTCTACACGTGCCAAGAATTCACACGCCTCTTTTTGTTAGAAATACGGGGTTTAGCGCATAGACAAACGATTTATTGAAAAGCCAAAGTTACTTGTCTGATCTCTGCCCTTTCTTCTAAAACGGCACTAAGGGGGTCCCTGCCCTGCGCACACAGCCTCAGTAATTTCAGAGAACGTTACCTGCAGTAAGTTTTTGGGCTCTAACAAAGTCACGCCTTTATTTTCCCCTTCTCTTGGAAGCCATGTGGTCATTACCAGGTGCCCTGGGAAAGCCTCAGTTCTGTTTGTAACTGAAATTTCAAGCACTGAACTGGCTTTGGCACCATCAGGACTGTCCAGCCGTGCTGGCGGGCAGCTGGGGCTACACCACGTGGTACAGAACAGCAGCGAAGAACAGAGACTGTGAGTGTCACCAAGGTGATTTGAGGTGGGGGCTTCCGTGCACGTGGCACCCAGTGACAGCCAGTTTAAAACCGGCGTTAGGGTACACGGTTGTCCCTCCTGCTGTGCCTTTACTAAACGCCACTTTTAAGACGTCGTTTCGAGTGTATCGCTCCCTCGGGGACAGGAGCTGCAGCAGTGGTAGTGCTTCACCATGTGAAGATGTGGTGCCTCACGGGGCATTTTGTCTTCGTGGTCGTATGGCGGGGCGCTCAGAGGCAGGCCGCAGCCTGACAGCAGCGAAGCAGATGCTCCGAGGAGACAGCAGTTCGGGCAGTTTGCAAAGGGAAGTAAAACAGATTTTCTAACTAGTTTAACACAAGTCTGAACCAGTTGGAGCGAGTCCAGAGGAGGCCACAAAGATGCTCAGCAGGCTGGAGCACCTCTGCTATGGGGACAGGCTGAGAGAGTTGGGCTTGTTCAGCCTGGAGAAGAGAAGGCTCCAGGGAGACCTTATTGCACCTTCCAGTACCTGAAGGGGCTACAAGGAAGCTGGGGGGGACTTTTTACAAGGGCCTGTAGTGACAGGACAAGGGGTAACGGGTTTGAATTGAAGGTGGGGAGGTTTAGCTTAGATATCAGGAAGAAGTTCTTCCCAGAGAGGGTGGTGAGGCGCTGGAACAGGTTGCCCAGAGAAGCTGTGGATGCCCCATCCCTGGAAGTGTTCAAGGCCAGGCTGGATGAGGCTTTGAGCAACCTGGTCTAGTGGAAGGTGTCCCTGCCCATGGCAGGGGGGTTGGAACTAGATGGTCTTTAAGGTCCCTTCCAACCCAAACCATTCTGTGATTCTGTGATTCTATGAAGTCTGATCCGAGCGTAGGAGTCTGTCCTGGAGTTTTTTAGAACTGTGGGTGTGGTCTGCCTCAGGAGGAGACAGAGGCTTTTCATTTCCACTGCTTTAGACAGTTTTAATTCAGAGGCACGGCTAGACAGGTGTTTGATTGCCACCTCTTCATGCAGAGGGGAATCTGAAGTTTGAAAGAGCTTTAGCACATAATGCTTCTTTTCGATTAACTTCTCAGGACAACGATCTCCCTGTCTTCCAAAATAAAAAGGCTTTCTTTTGAGGTTCGGGCCTCCTCGGCTTTCATAACTCGGTGACGAATAGGATAGCGATAGGAACTCTGCCCAGCTCCTTTAGAACACTACCTACTTTCATTCACCTACCAGGAGCCCCAGGAACTTTAGCCCTTCCTTAAAGACAATAACACGTTTCTCATCAGCCTGCCTTTGTGCGTGACAACATCACGCTTGTTGGAAAAGTTCAGAGCTGTCAGTGGTTAATGCCAGATACTCCGGCTCTGACGTCGGTGCCTGGAGCGGGTCAGAACGGACGGCTCGCTTTGATGCTTCTCTGGCAGAAGGGGTGTGGGGGAAGGTGAGGACTGACGGTCAGCCCCAGCTTTCCTGCTCCCATAGCTGGTGGAAGAAGCGCGTGGTGACAGAGCCGTAGCGGGACAGACACCAAACTCCGTTACCTCACCGGCACAAGCAGGCCAGATGCTTTGGAGGGCAGACACGCGGGTGGTATCAAAAGGGAAAGAAGTAAGGGGGGCAGAGGATGACCGGTGGAAAAGGAGTGCACGGTGGTGCACAGACAGGGGGTAGGTGCTTCAAAACGTTCTGGCAAATAGGGCCTTTGTGACCGTTACAAGTAAAACGTTTCGAAACCTGAACATTGAGCTTTTTTTTAACGTATGTTTTTTATCAAACAGCTGCCTTTTGTCAGTTCAGGAAAGGGCATTCGAAGAGGCCCTTTTTTGTTTGACTGCGGGCATTCAAGTGTGCCCACAGAGTTGTAAAGGAGGCAGGTTTGCAGTTCTTGGCATTGGAAAGCTGTCCTTAAGATGTGCTGGGTTCAGCCCCTCAAGGAAACGTTTGGATGTTCTCTTGGGCTGACTCTGGCTAGAACGGGATAAAGCACCGACATGTTTGCACACAAGCTCTACCAGGCTGAGAAGGGAACATACATGGATTATGTGTAGGACATGACAGTAAATAGAAACACTGAATGAGCCCAGACGTCCAGCCAGACTCTGAAGAGAATACGCAGGTGCCATTGATTTCTGCTATCTCAGGGAGTACTTGCTTCTGCCCTGGACTAGTACTGACCCTGGAACTGGCCAGGTGACAGACCCCCAGCCTGGAAACCTTCATTCCTTTATGAGAGCAAGTCTCAAGCTCCATTAAGCTCTGTTATTATGAAGGAATTCTTCCCGGAGAGGGTGGTCTTTAAGGTCTTTAAGGTTTGGGTTCCAACCCAAACCATTCTATGAATCCCTGATTATAGGCTGCCTGAACCATCCACAGTAGCATTCCATGTAGAAACGCTGGCGCCACAGAAACCAGACTGTATTTACAGGTAGTCAGCAGGGATACCTCAGGGAAAAGGCACCTTCTTCTCCTGGTAGACGCATTGCGTATGAAATCTGTAACGCAGCGCAAATTAAGTTTCTTTTTTTTCTCCACTAGTTACTCATCAAAACCATTTTGTTCTTTTACAGTAAATGACCTGCAGCATGTTAATTTGCTGGAGAACATGGGAAAATCAAAGCAATTTTCATACAACATGAGACCAACGGCTGATGCGAAACCAAAACATACAAGACTCCAGCACTGAGCAAAACTGAATGTTTGGAATTTAAAGCAGCACATTGCGGTACAACCTTTCCTAATGCACAAGTCACCTATGACACAGGAAACCTGAACACATTGTCTGTTTTGTGTTATCTCAGCATTACGTGCCAGGCAGACTTCTGAGGAGTTGGACTTATTTTGTGTCCGAATTAGTTTTTAAATGCAACTGTTAATTTATTTACTGACAGGACAAAACCTGAATTGCTGTTGGAAACCGACCATGAAGCACCGAGTCCGGCATTGCAAAGGTTGCAGGGCCTCCCGAAGTTTTCCGTTAGCCAAAGTAGGACTTTTAAAACGCGTCCCAACAGAGTTTCAGAGGAGACGGCAACCGTACTAAAGACGTAACGGTTCTGAAAAGCTGCTGCTCCGTCCCACCTCGCACTCATTAAATATATTTCGAAACCTAAGTGGGACGGGGGAGCAGTGGCCATGCGCCGTACCGAAGTGGCAGCTGTTTCGTAGTGACACGCTCAGACGGCAAAGCAGAGATGGTGACAACCACCACTGGTGAATGAAGAAACTTGTTTTCCACAGCCTACGGAAATCGGTAGGGGGGGCTTTCTGCCCTCTGAGATTATCACCGATCTCTTCTGTATCCCTAACTCATTTTGCACAGGCACCGCCGGTTTCTGCAGAAAGCAACAAAGGTGGGACCCGTTCTAGAAGAAAACTTGTCCTTAGGATAGCTTTGGAGCTGCCAGCATACGGTATTTACCTCGCAAGAAGTATTTAAAAACAGCAGCTGGGCAAAACGAAAATACTCCATTGTTCTCTATTTTTAATTCTAGTCGGCATGAGGCAACTCTGACTTTTTTTAATGAATACGATGCTTCGAAACAACAGCTGGTGGGAGTCACCGGCAGTCTGTTTCTCTGCAACCACTTCAGCATCGAGGAGAGGGGCTTCCCCTTCGCACCCCTCGCTGTGGTCACCGCACCTCCTCCGACTGCTTCTGGCACCGCCGGAAAGGAAAGGCGGGAGAGGTGTGCGGTTCTTTGTAAAATGTTTATTCTGTTTCGCTTACAAAAAGATTGACCAACTTTGTTCCAACACCTTCCATTCAAAACTAAACAGAAGTAAATGCTTTACAATAAATGCAGAGTTCGACCTCTTCAATACACCGCGTTTACGGGGCCGGGTCCCTGGGGATGGGAGGCAAGGTAGATGTTGAAACAGTAATGGAGGTCCGTGAGCCACTGCTCTTGAACTTCGCCACTCTTCAGCGTCTGCAAAGAAGGGGAAAACACGTATGGTCAGGTAAAACACACACGAGGGTGGCGCTCTGACAGCAGGAGTGCTGAGAATGGCTGCCAACAGGCCAGCCCAGGCCCCAGCCTAGTAATCCACGTTCCTTCTCATCGCTACGTGGTTAAAAAACCCCGGTCCTTCTCATCGCTACGTGGTTAAAAAACCCCTGACGGCGCCCAACGCCCCATCCACAGTGAAGAAGCGGCGGAGGCATTTCCAGCGTCGAAGGAAAGCAACCACCTCATCATTCTCTGACAGAGAACGTGCATTACACCTGCCCTCGCCACCACTACTGTTCTGTTGCTGGCAAGGGACCTCTTGGGAGCTACGAATGGATATGCATGGCCAGCTTACTCAAACCGGCAGGACACAGGAACACTCTGCCCTCGGAACGAGGAAGCAATTCCTGCAAAAGCTGTTTCAGATATTTTCTGAGGGCAGAAGCGGCTGCAACCATCTCAAAACCACTGGAATGCGGACACCTGAACAGAAGCGCTGGGGTTTGCAGCACCTGAAGGAGAATGTATTTTGCACGGTGTGTACTTAGGAGTTTTTCTGATTCAACACCCTCCTCACGCCCCTCTGTGCTCCTGCTCCAGTGCCCAGGGCAGACCAGTCGCTTCTTTCGGGACAGCTGTCCCTCAGGCAGGCCGGGCAGGCCATCCACCTCCAGAGCCTTCGGTTAGGCAGCCACCTGCTGCCCAGGGCCGCTGGGCAGGCCACAATGGAACTGTCTCAGCTGCGGAGCGACCGGGGGGCTTGCTCGGACATGCGGCCCCCGTCTCCACAGACCGGACTTCCAAGACAAAATAAAAGACAATCCCAACCTGTGTTTTCCCAAACACCTGTCCATCCGGTTTGCAGTAATTTTTAAACCTCCTACGCCCTTTGTAACGGGAGGGAGACAGGAAGCAGCTCCATACCATGATGTCCTTGATGATCTGTTGCACCAGAAATTCGTTTGTGATCATATGGCTCCTGAGCTGACCGTGCTGCATCAGGAGGCGAAGCAGCTGAGCAACGACAGGCAGCTCTTCCCGACAGATCCTGCTCACTTGCAGGCTCTGCAGCATCAGCTTCAGTAAGCGCGGCAGGAGTGCTAACGCAGAAATACACGATCCCCACAGCATATCCCTGCGAGGGGAAGAGAACAAACACACGTGTATCTCAAACGTGCTTCTCCGAACTAGCCCCCCAGCTTTACGAGGGGACGCCCCTCTGAATTCAGTCGTGCCAACCGCTTTCGCCGCAAGTCGTGACGGAGCAGGAAAGCTGCACCAGAAAATGCTAAGCTTGAGAGCATTCTCCAACAGCGCACAGCCCTGGAGAAACACGAAGGGCCTGCCCTGGAGCTACAGGTGCTGCCGAAGCTCTCGCACAGTGTCCTTTCTGCCTGAGGCACCTGGGGAGAGGTTCTTGTTTCAGTCGGTCCAGGTCCACCTGGGACCTTTAATAAAGGCTCCTAAGAAATCTAACCGTGAAATCGGCTTTTTGGGACATGCGAGTCATGGGATACGGTAAGCAAAGGAGGGCTCTGGCTTTCAAAACATGTCTAAGTGAGCTCTGAACAACTTTCCTGTGTACAGAACAGACCAGAGCAAAGTTTCAACTCCTTCAAGACATTCCTGTTGCGCAGGTAAATAAACCGATTTCAGGCTGGCATCTGCAGCTTTTGTGGGTTTTAAAATCAAATGGATTTGCAGTCTGTGAAATGAGGCCTGACGAGTTCTATTCAAACTGAAATACCAGGTCAGTTAAAAGCACAAGCTCACACAGCCAAATCGGGTGTGTGTTGCGTTTCCATGTCACCTGATGACGCTGCCGGCGGAAGCTAAAGATTAAGGTACAGACACCCACCTCGCCAAAGCCAGGCTGGCCCTGCCATCTCACTACAGCCGTCGGAGATGAAACCTTCCTCGGCTGCCGTTTTGAACAGCTCCAGCTAACTGCGCAGCTCTCCGTCTAAAACCCAAGCGCTCAAGCAAAAGACGGCATAATGCATTCGGAGTTGCGCGTGGGAGGGGTTGGCCTTTCACTTTACACCTCTAAACGCTCGTGGGTGTCAAGGCAGAGACAACCAACACGGCAAGGAAAGCGGCGTCACCTTTTCTGTACGTGTTCCGCGTCCTCTTTGTCCAGCGTC